TAAGAAGCCGACCAGTTTTTTTACCCCTGGTTGGTGGAAAAAGATCATGAAGAGGATGATAATTCTGGGTCATCTCTTGTATTAATTTGATGGTGACTTGCTCTCTCCATCCTTGTAAATCAGGTAGATGTATTGATGTTTTAATAAATCTCTCAATGATTCGTTGTGCTCTCTTTTGCATGCTTTCCAGCAAAGCTGCTTGCTTTTTTGTGCAACCAACTAACAGCACATTTGCATACTCCAGACAGGTTCTGATCAAGGAGCAATAAACACTGACTAAATCATCAGCAGAAGCTCCATGTTTTGCAAAAACTGTCAAAAAGTGAAGACGTTGAGATGCCTTTTTTATACTCGTCAATGTGATAATTTCCATTTAATTGACTGCCAAGATGATACCCTAGGTATTTTGACCGTAATACCACAGGAACCTCCCAGTGTGAGTGGTGGTGGTTGTGTTGGATTTTTTGCAAAACATCCTTATTTCAACAAATTTGTTTCCATTTAGGAGCATGTTGTTATTTTGTGCCCAAGTTTCCAAAGCAAGTGCCTCCATTTCCATCTTTTTGTCTGTTTCTATGTCTTTTTAATTTACAGCTCGTGATATACCAATATCATCTGCATAAACTGTGTCCAATGTATCACCAAAAATGACTTCACAGGTTGACATATGAAGTAAAAACAGATATGGTGACACAACTCCACCTTGGGGAACCCCGATGCCACAACTTTCCATGCTCTACCGTTTGCAACCACCTTTTGTCGTCTTCCTGTTGTGTAGCTAAACAACCAAGCCAACAACTGTGAACAGAGGTTAAGTGTTGTTAAATGCTGAAAAAGCCTTGCATGGTCGACTCGATCAAATGCTTTTGACATGTCTGCCAATAACACACGGACCCTAGTTGGTTGTTGAGAGTCTCCCTTAGCCATGTGTGTATATTCTTAACCAAAGCATTCATAGTGCTGTGTTTAGGCAGATAGGTTGCATTCTGTTGGCAACTGTTGGCATAAGTTTCTTCAACACAAACCTCTCTTGCATTTTACCAATGCAAGAAGTTAAGGAAATTGGTCTCCTGTCAGATTTTGCATTCGCAACCTTTGGGACTGGGCATATATTAGCTTCTTTCCATGCAGTTGGTAGAATACCCACTTGATATGAGGTATTGATCAGATATGCTATGACTGGTGCCAGGTCTTCTGCGTGATTATTGAGAAGCCATGGAGGTATATCCTCAGGGTTACTTGCTTTCCATGTATCTAATTTTAGAAGGGCTTGTTTTATCTGTCCTATACTGCACAGTTCATGCGTTTTTGTTGGTTTGGCCAAAGGAAAAATCACACACGTCTTATCACTAGTCCAAGCCTCGGCAAAAAAACCTCTGCCTCTGCCACATGATCTCGATTCACATTATAGCGTTTTATCTCAGTTCTATTAGTTTTAGATCGTCCAAGCTCATTGTTGATGAGTTTTAAAGAATCACATTAACAGTGTGCCACATATGAATATGCATGAAGACCCTTCCCCAGATTTGGGGAACCATTAGTTTACCTTGTTTCAGGTTCCATTAATGCTTTCAAATAAAATGTATTCGTTTTTGAATGTGGAAATGTAGCTGCGTGCAAGTTTCTAGTTACGTAACTGAAACAGTATATGCATACCGCAAAAGTGAAATGTGAATGGCTATGACAAAAATGTGGTCTTGTGTCACCAGCCTACATGTATTCATTTCTGATTTTAGTGAATGTGCAAATAGTGCCTTGTAGAAAGTACATAATGCATGCAGAGTTCCTACACATTTTCAAAATCCCATACTTTTCCAGACCAAATTATTAAGGGTGTAATAATTAATGGTACATTTCACAATATTGAATTCACAATTTCATACTCTTACGATACTAAACTAGTGTTGTCACAGTACCAATATTCAGTAGTTGGTACCAGTAAAACTCCAGTTACAATCAATGAAGATGTGGACACTGCACAATGAATTTCTTATTTACATTGTGTTAAGTATAATGGATGGATTCACGAGAAACCTAATGCGAGCGTTGAATAAAAAATGTGGAGTTTCGAGCAGTACATAGCCTTTGAAAAACCGGATTGACCCGATACTCTGTACCACCGGTCCTGCAGAATGGCTGGTATCGTTACATTTTTTAAATCTCAGTACTGACTTGGTACCGAAGTACTACTGGTTCTTTTGACAACACTACAAAAATGTCTGAATGACATGCATATTGTTTCTTTAATTACAAAAAAAGTACTTTTCATTGCAAAATGATTAATCAGGAATGGAATTAAACTTAAAATCTGCCAAGCACAGGGCAATGGTGCCAGCTGAATAAAAACATAATTCTACTCAGCTGAAAATTTATGATTATGTTTGATATGCTTTCAAACTTTCATGAAAAATACTCTGTTTGTATGATATTTAGGGGATAATGAAAAATGTGGTGGGCTTTCTTGTAACACGATAGAAAAATCCCTGCAAGCGGGTAGAGAAAGCGAAATCAAATTGCCAAATTTCCGAACCACTGTCCACTTTCATGACGTAAAATTACGAATCTTACTATTGCAAAGGTTTAGCTCATGAATATTAAATTGATCATTTTAAGGTTGCTTGGAATTTGTACTGGAGAGCCCCGCTTTAATTAATATTCATGAAACAGCACCAGCCAATAAGATATACGGACGTCACATTACTTAATTAATATTCATGTTCCAGGTCTTCACCCATAGTAAATTCCAGTTTGGGGCGTCACAATAGACGTATTTAAATGGTTTCCACCCTCTGCGTTGCCTAGTACTCATTTATTTGCTTCGTCCAAGGGCAGAACGGAGAGAAGCTTGTCGTCTTTCAAGTACTGAAGTTGATAATAACGCGTTTCCTCACCGAAGGTAAGCAGACGTAAAGGTTTATAGCATCGCGGACTGTTAGCTAAAGCTAACGCTAGTGCACTGTATTTAATCCTAACTGCCTGATTGTCAGGTTAAGGTCAAAGTCCGACTGTGCTCTCTGATGCGGCCTCCTTTTGAATGTTTTGCCTGCCTTGATCGTGCTGATGTTGATCGCAAATGGAGAAAAGTGAAATCTTTCCAATCCAATGTGTAACACACGGACTGTCAAACCGAAACCATGTAAACCTGCCGCGTGTTAACTCCGTTGAGTGCCATGAGGTACACATGCAGATCTTTGCTGTTAGTAAACCTCCTTTTACAGCATAAGCTGGCATATATATGACCCTGGACCACAAAACCAGTCATAAGAGTCAATTTTTTAAAATTGACTTATACATAATTTGAAAGCTGAATAAATAAGCTTTCCATTGATGTATGGTGTATGTTTGTTAGGATGGGACAATATTTGGCTGAGATACAACTAAAATGAAAATCTGCAATCTGAGGGTGAAAAAAAAATCGCCTTTAAATTTGTCCAAATGAAGTTCTTAGCAATGCATATTACCAATACAAAATTACGTTTTGATATATTTACGGTAGGAAGTTTACAAAATATCTTATATCTTATATAGTATTATTATTGTGTGTGTGTGTTTGGATGTATACAATGCATTTGTTTTCCCTGCTGATGACAGAAGGGATAAATATTTTTTACAGAAAAAAAATCCCGTCTTTGTGTGAAATATTAACAGGGCAGGTTGAGCACCGTGAAAGCTCCTTATAATTATATTATGGAGATTGTATTTATGTTATGATTTGTACATTAGATTTAAAGAATTCTTAGATTTAAGGAAAGTCGTAATTTAGGATGGAACGTTATTTCAATGCTTCTTAAGTGTAATTTACTTACAGTTCAAATGCTAAGCTATAAAATGACATTAGCAGAAAAAAAGTCCTGCAAGTTCCTAGGAACTTTGGACAGGTCACAGGGTTGCCAGGTTTTCAAAACAAACCCGCCCAATTGTTGCTCAAAACTAGCCCAACCGCGTTTCGAGGGGGTCCCCCGATAAAAATCGTTTTCCGGTGGTAAAATTCACTGGGGGTTTTCTTCTTTTTCGGGCGGGGTTCCCCTCGCATTCCAGGGGCTAGATATCACGTTATTGCTGTCGCTTCATCCCGCAGACATGAAAACAACGCGCGACAATAGCCCAATTGGCTACACTAGGGCAGGACATCTTTTGCGTAGAAAGGTGCGATAATGTTATTGATTGTCCTGCTCTTGTCAAGAGGTGACGACATAAGGCCCAGTCATTCCACTTGTTTAAAAAAAGTTACATAAGACATTTAATTTGTAATGTCCATGATGTACAACCACATGATTAAGTTATGTCTATGTCAGTGTAGTCGGGCCAGATGAAGCAGTTTCTAAATGTTCTTGAGCAGTGGGAAGCAGGCAGGGTGGATGTTCAGAATCACCCAACACATGCTGGAGGCGCTGTTCACATGTGACCGACAACGCCTCTGACTCGTAAAGTGACAGGAACTCTGAATAACTCACCCCGGATAAAATTTTTTGGATTCTTTTAAAAACATTCCTAGCGTTGCATTCCTAGTTCAGGACCGTAGAAATCCATTGAGTGTGTGTCAGTGGTGGATATGAATCATGCACAAACCTGTGTGTAAACCAAACACACACAGGCGGTTTCACGGAAGCTGTGGAATGTTCTGATCAGCCCATCAGGTTCACTATGTCCTGGTGACTCGATTTGATATCGGACCGTTGTCGTGGAAATGACACATGACCTCCTTCTTAACAGTGTTTCTAAACGAGATAATGATTTTTAAAACTTTGCAATAATTACACAAAAGCGAGTATTATTGCTCAAACTTGTCTGATCTTATTGATCTGAGCAAGCACGTCAGCAAACTAACAGCCAGCCTTAACAATTTATCGTTTATATTTTTGTTGGTGGTGTTCTATTTTCTTTAGAAGGTTTGGCATATTTTTTATTATTTGTTTTTTATGAAATGTCTCTTATGAACTGCATTTATTTGATGAAAACTGCAGTAATAATTGTGAAATACTACAATTAATTTTTTTTACTTAGGACCAAATGACATTGTGAGGTGCTTCTGTTGTGGACAGCAGCTGGCAGGATGGGAGCCAGGCGATGAAGCCTGGGGTGAACATGCAAAGCACTACTCAAACTGCTTCTTCATCTTGGGCCACGATGTGGGCAATGTGCCTCTGACAACACCTAGGCCCAGGGTGAATGGTCAGAGAGCCTTTTTGGAGACTTTTGAGGGGCGTCTTGAAAGCTTCAGAGGCAGACAGCATCCCATAGACCCTGAGAGACTGGCCAGAGCTGGTTTCTACAGCAGTGGTAACTACTGTTATGTTTCTCCAAGCTTATTCAGTTATTTATACCGGATAAACTAATTCTCTCTCATATAGCATGCATATATATATATATATATACATATACACACACACACATACAGAAAGTGTTAAAATGCTAACTTGTTTTCAGGTTTTGGCCTTTAAAAATGTCATCCTTGCAACTTTGTTGGAAGACAGTGAACAAACTGTTGTGGTGTTTGGTCATATAGGAGAACAGGACCACGTGCTCTGCTTCAGATGTGGAGGAGGACTGAAGGGGTGGAGGCCTGATGAAGACCCTTGGGAGCAGCATGCCAGGCACTATCCAGGGTGAATTGCTTTTTCGTATACATTGAGACATTGAGGTACATTTGCATGTTCACTGCAGAATTTAACTTAATGTTCAGACTGCTCTATTGCATACAGTGAATGTATGAATGTGAATGTTGTTACAGCAGAATAAGTAGAATAGAATAATTCTATACAATTTTATAATTTCGTATACAGACATTGAGGTACATTTGCATGTTCACTGCAGAATTTAACTTAATGTTCAGACTGCTCTATTGCATACAGTGAATGTATGAATGTGAATGTTGTTACAGCAGAATAAGTAGAATAGAATAATTCTATACATACAAT